ATCTATATAATAAACAAAACCACCATGATGGCACACTGTATTCAGCTGAGTAATAAGCTGACTGAGTCATGAGCACACTCAAAACAAATAATAAAAAAGATGACCCAGTCCTGTAAGGTGTGATTCTGAGCTACGTCTCAGTCCCCATGGGATCAGCGCAAGGTGAAGGTTACTACTGCTACTGCACAGGCAGGCAGTTGAGGGGCCAGTGCGGTCAGGTGCTGTACCCCAACGTCAGGGCTTCCACATCCTCCTCCTCCAGGCTCTTCCCACAGTGTATGTGAGCCACTTCCGAATGCACAGCAGGCTCAGGGAACAGAGCTGTCTTCCAACCCTGAGCCCCACTCACACCTGGACAACCTATGCCCAGTGTAGGCCTCCAAGGAGCACCCCATTCCCCTGGGGAAACACTACCCACCTACTCCGGTTCCCATCTCAACATCACAACATGCCAATGCCCCAGAGAACGCCCATGGCAAGCCCTCTTTCCCCTCCCACATACCCCTGGGGAGAACCCTTCATCACACAGCAAGGTGCATACCACACGAGGTTGCATCGGCCCTGGTACAGAGATAGTACAGCATAATGACTAAAAGGATAGACTTGAGCGTCAGGTGGTCTGGGTTCAAATCCCAACTTACTTAGCCAGTGACTTGCTATGAGACCTCCCTGTGCCTCAGTTTCCTCCTTTATAAAATGGAGCTACTTAACTCAGGATTATTTGGGGGATTAAGTGGGTTAATATTTATAAAGCACTTTGTACCTGGTACATAACTTTTATATAATTTTTAACTACCCATTATTGTTTTTTCCAGTGCATTAGAGCTGCCTCTCCATCTACAAGCAGAAGAATAGAAGATGCTGGGTGTAAAATAGGCCTGAGACCATGGCAGCTTCCCTTGACACGTCAGACCTCCAAACACTGAGAAAACAATCATCCTGGGTCCCCAGAGGTTTCTTCACCTCAGCTGCCAAGTAGAGATGTTGGCACACTGGCACCAGGGAGGGTCAGGGTGAAGACAGAACATCCCACAGCACAGTAAAAAAAAA